AGCTCTATAGTTAAGAGCTAAAGTAGTTAAAGTCTAGTAAAAGATTATTAAGCTACAAGGTGGCAATAAGTATATAGAGGGGAGAGATAAGCCTTAGCTAAGGCGGCCGTACATCGGCTAGATTATTCTTAGTAGATAATACTTTTGAAAGGCACCTCCGTACAGAGTAGTTAGATGATTTTCGGGTGTCTGTCTGACCCTCAAGCCACCATGTGAAGGCCACTGCTTGTAGCTGATTGGCCGAACGGAAGGTGCGGCTAATGTCTGAGATTACTATGTTGTAGTCTTATGGAGTCCCTTACCCCAAAATTGCGCCGAGCTTTCCGCATAATTCGTCACCCTAGAGGTATTGAGAGACAGGGAGGTCACCCTAGGGATTGCATGCTGTAGGGAGCAGTTATTTTCTTGGAATCAAGTAAAAGTCGGTGTAATCCGGTTGAGGCGAAGGCTGCGAGTAAGTGCGTGAAGTCCTGGATCACATTTGCGACCTTCTAGTTCTGAATGGCAGACTGGGGACCAATCGATTCAATCGGCCATTCGGTTCACGAACGTGCCACATTGTGACACCACACACGTCCCGACATTTGTGCTATGTCATCAATACGACAACGCCAAGGTGAGCCCGGATAATCTTTTGTCTGCTAACTAGAAACGGTGCAAGGTTCACGAAATAGTCTTTATTGAGGACGGGTGATAATGGCATGATTGGGACAGAAAGAAGTTTCTGTAGGCAGGGACGTTGCCGGGCACCTGGTAATACGAATCTGCGTCGTTGTTCCCCTTGTGCGAATAATGGGTTATCTCTAAATATGCCGTTCCTACATGAGTTGACGGCAGGGACAGCCAGCATACTTCGTGATAAGTCAAGTCTATTTAGCTGACTACGTGATGAGGCGTTTCTCTATGTAGCTATCTTACGTTAGAGGATATGCTTCAAGGGCGGCCCTACCTTCCACTCGTATGCGGATGCTATATAATTCCGCGCCAAAGTTAATACATACCATTGCACATCGGCGACATAGGCACCATGGTTGGAATAGCAGCGAAACCTTATGAGAAGGTGTGAGAGCTAAAAAAACGACCGTCAGATAACTCTCGAGTTACTAGAGCGTAGTACTAAATAAGCTTAGTAAGCCTTGGTATCTGCTGCGACAGAAGGTTTCTACGAATTCGACACGGACCTGGGCTCGCCATTGCCGGTCAGCAGATAACGGACTGTATTTAAACGGATAGCCTGGACAGCTTAAGGCATGTTACAACTTTGTTGGTCGAACCAAGTTACTAATTTCTCGCGGACACTCGTCATCATGTTACCAAAGCTACCGTTGTTTATTATTCTTCTAGTCGCAAAGGTCTCCTATCAACAAATCATCAACACCGATTTTGCGAGTGCAATCGACGTTAATGTATGCCAGGAGATGGATTCTCACTCTGTTTTCAACCGTATATCATGGGCAACTAGAACTTGCGAGTGCACAACGCCATATAGCTTTAGGGCCAGTTGTGTCAGGACATATCCAAACGCACGCGAAAACTACATCGGTAGCTACGATCGAAAATGCGACCCCAGGGATGAAACTTCCGTTTTTTGCATACCCACAGAAAACAATGATCTGGTATATACAGACTGTTCATGCAAGAGGATACCAAAGAAAGTAGGGCAAAAACCACCTGGAAAATCAAACGGAGTTGGTTGCTCTGGTGGACTGACTTTGGGACAAACACACACAATGTCTGTGTATTCCACAATCGTCTTTGCTACAGGGACAACATCGCGCCAAGTTGACGGTTGCTACGTCCAGAATAGCTCTACAGGGACAGAGCTTGCCGCCAACTATCCGTGCCCCCTGAACAATAACGGACACGTACTCGAATTTGAAAAAGGAGCGACCTACCAGGCATGTGTCGAAGGCGACGACGATTCTCCGGACACAATTTCATTTCAATGGATTGTCACGAGCTCGATTGGGCACTCAAAGCGGGACGAATTTATGCAGGCCGTCTCGTACGATAAAAGCGTTGCCCGTGGTAACTTTAAGGGAAGTGTTATAGTCGTTGATGAGGATGGAGCAGAACTCCAGCGATTTGATTTATAAAGGGCACAGTACTCTGTAATGACTTTAGAAAGACGGAACTTCAAAGACGTTCTACTTAGTCGTGGCGGTCCTACTCGGGCCTAACGGCTGCTGTAGTAGAATTTTAATGAAATTGCCCGTGCTCCGTACAGGCCTATCAAAGCTTTAATTGTATATAGAATATATACAAATAAAAATAATAAGAGCTTATGAATATGTTTCCCTAAGTCTTTCTGCCTCTTATCTACTTGCGTAGGGAGGAGTGTTCCGCCACACCAGTTGTTCCGTCACGAAGGGATGCACGTTAGTCAATTCCAGACCCTTGCTCCTTGTTTGCATAAGCGAGATGGCTTCTGTTTGCGTGAATGAGACTCCCGTGACACCGCGAGAACGCGCCGGGCACAGACCAGCACTCTCATCACCGAAACGATAGCCGCCCAGGCAAGGTATTCTCAGCCTTGGAGTGCTGCCTCGACCAACCCTACCATCTAGCATACCCGAGACTCCTTTTCTTAATATTTTACATGTTTGCTTGTGTTTTGGTTGTGTCTTGAACTAGGTATCAGGCAAGCAAGACAGCTGTTGCCCCGCATGGCGGATCATGCTAGGGCGAAGGGTCCTCCCGCACCTCCCTCGCTTCCAAGCACGCCGTCCCGCTACCAGCCAGGAGAAGATCTCAACAAACTCGTGGAATCCATCAACAGAGACTTCGACCTTGACATCCAAATTCGTGGCCACTATTCCCCATCAAAATTGGACCGAGATGACTTAGGCAATCAAGTCTACGAGTACATCATGTTCCTGTTTTACCAAAACAAGCAAGCCCTTGAGCGGGCAATTAAAGAATTCGACTCCAGCGCTGGGCAAGAACGATCCAAAGAGAGCTTGAATCTTTTTCACAAGTTAATGTCAGATACAGTAAAGGCATGCAGACCACCCTCAAAGACCCGGACGCAGGACATTAGGCAGCCCAGAAGCCCTACTTCTTCTCCTCACAGTCAGTACTCCTTTTCCTTGATAAACTCTCCAATCTCTGGCATTTTTACGCCAGATTCATGCCAACCACATTGGCACTTTATGACAGCTTGACATTTAGGCCTCCGTGTTTCGTGGGCTCCGCTTGAAGTAATAGGAAACCCATGTGTATAAATACTAACTTACAGACAGAAGCAATCAAGACACCACAGCAACCCACTCCACTACGTTTTGACCGGCGATCTCAGCGAGAATCACGGGAGTCATATGAATCGTATAAGACCGCTCCAGATCCAGGATCTCCTACAGACGAAGACACCGACAATGAAATGAACCCAGGGCTTGAGGCACGATCTCCATCGCCTTCTCCATCTTTTAGGCCACCACATCCATCTCAGGCAAGTAAACCCGTCTCATTGCATTCAGCAAGAAAACGGCCCTTGGAGAACTCCAATCATTATGGAACCTCGTCAAAATTGACAAAAACCTCGAGAGGAAAGCAGGCAGTCAACACATCGCGTAATACAGAGGACTCGTTCAAAATACCGACCGTCGACATGGCTCCCTCGCGTCAGCCTATTCCTGATCCATCATCCGCAAATCCGTCCTTCAACAATGGCATTTTCTGGTCACAGGAGACCGCCAATACCGCAGCGACTTCTTTCACATCATTTAATGGCGACACCGATGCTTATCGACAACCCAGCTCTACAGTAAGGGCTATAAATGGAAGTAGCTCCACCACATTAGGCTCCTGGGATGATGAAAGTCTGATCCAAGCGGAAAAGCAATTTGCCATGTCGACCCAAAACGACAGGGTATGTGAGCAAGACATCCAGACCGACCTCAATAGAAGCTTTTCTCAAGACAGCAACGGGCAAAGCAGATCTACCTTTGGCTCTGTAGATGAGGAGGAATTTGCCAAGGCGGCAGCCAAACTTGAAGAAAAGCAAAATCGGTCAGATCCGGTTGCTTGCCTGGAACCCTCTGGGGTCGCCACCAACCAACAACAGCACGATTCATCTACGGATAAGATGCCATATGACATACGCGACATACCCAAGCAAAGTCTCTTCGTGGAAATGCTTCCAGTGGAATTGGAATATATTCCCTACTATGTGTTATTCATCTGTCTGCGCATTGCGCTAGAACACTCTGTTTCATTGCGAACGATTGCGGATGTTGTTGACGACTCAAATATCTTCACTGACCCACAAACATTTTGGCACTCCATTGATTGCTACTTTAAGAGCCTGGGCAGACCTACGGTCAAGTCACGCGAAACCAATCGCCTCTGGCAAGCAGTAAATCGGGAAATGGATGGTTTTACCTTCAAGGGAAAACTGACTTTCAGTTCCAGACGAACAGGATCGATCATGTGTCTCAGGCTACTACCGATACAAGAAGAAAAGTCCTGTCGACTGCAGCGAATGTTCGGTTCAGATCGGTTCCTCTATCTGGATTTACCCGAGTTTAATTCTTCCAAGATAGATGGCTTCACCAAGGATGACATAGTGAAGATCAGAAAGAAGTGGCAAGAGTGGTTGCTCACAGAGCACTCCTTTTTGGGACGCAAATGGAGAGTATTCCATGTTGACAACATAAAAAGGAAGCACAAGTCTCACCAAGACGATATGCTTCACAACAAGAAGATTGTTCTGTTTGCCACAGAAGGCACCGGCATTGAGCAACCGTACACAGTGGGTGAAATGTTAAACAAGTTCTTACCTATGGATCTCAACAAAGAACAAAGCTTCTGTAAGGCCTTTGCTCGCATTGATCTTGGCCTTTCCCGGACTATACCTACTTTGTGCTTCGACGCAGAGCAAATCCGGCGTGTGCGTGACAGTAGGAGTAAAGGTGACCAAGAAGATACACGATTCAATGACACAACACTGGACTGGCCACCTTTCCCGGCGCGTACTGTGATGGATGATGGGTGTTGCGTCATGTCAGTGGGTGCAGCCAAGAAGATATGGGATCTGTACACCAAGGCTACGGGCGTTACCGATCCACTACCTAGTGCCTTTCAGGGGCGCATAGGAGGTGCTAAAGGAATTTGGGTAATTAACGCAGAAAGATTCACCAAGGAGCCGACTCACTTGGAGCCCTGGATCATGATCAACGATAGTCAATGGAAATTCGAGCCACCAAATGACCAGTCTCCTTATCATCGTACTTTTGAGGTGTTAAACTACAGCTCAACCCCATCTCCATCTGAGCTGCATTCATTGTTCATTCCGATATTGGCTGATAGGGGTGTACCAAAGGAGGCGATATCTGATCTCATGTTTGACTCTCTTGAAAAAGAGCGCATGAATCTACTGAATGTTCTTCAAGACACCACAAAGGTGCATGAGTGGGTATACCGAAACGGAGCAAACACAAAACTTCGCGAAGAAACCCCTGGACGAGCTGGTCAACCAGCATCTCTCGAGGAAAAGGTTCTGAACCTACTGGAATCCGGCTTTGACCCTCTGAAGTTTCCGTATCTTGCCCAGAATCTCGAATCCTTTATTCTGAGTAGACAGATATTTCAAGAGGCTAAACTACGTGTACTGCTTCCCAAATCAACATTCTTATACGGAGTGGCAGATCCAAAGGGAGTATTGAATCCTGGAGAGATTCAAGTATTGTTCTCTTGGCCATTCCTCGACGAAACCACTAATGAGAGATACTTGGAACTCAGGGACTTGAATGTCTTGGTCGCTCGTCACCCTGCTTGCCGTCGTTCTGATATTCAGAAGGTACGGACAGTCATACATCCCGAGCTGTCTCATTTAGTAGATGTGGCTGTCTTTTCCTCCAAAGGATCTTTCCCCTTAGCTGGCAAGCTGCAGGGAGGTGATTATGACGGCGACATATTCTGGATTTGCTGGGAGAACACACTTGTGCAACCGTTCTTCAATGCTCCTGCACCAGTTCAGCCTCCTGAGCCCTCCCTTTATGGCATTGAAAAAAGAACCGAGAAACTGAAGCATATTGTAGACGTTAAAAGACCCGACAAAGTGGATGCATTTTTGAAAAGGGCTTTCGAGTTCCGTGATCATTCATCGCTGCTAGGTCAGGCAACGATTCTGGCAGAGAGCCAGGCCTACAGCGAAAACTGCGTTCATTCCGGAACCCTTGAGAAGCTCTACGACGTACATGATCTCCTTGTCGATGCAAGTAAGCAAGGATACATCCTCACTCAGAGCAAGTACAACAGCTCCGTAAAGACATTATGTGAGAATCCGAAAGATCCAGCCTACAAAAGGGCAGCTAAAGACTGCAAAAATGCGAGGATCTCGATAGATACTCTGAAATGTCGTGAGAAAAAATACGGCTACAAACCAGACAACATACTGGACTATCTCTACTTCGATGTCGTGAGGGCACACAACATTGAGACGATGAAGAAAGTCAAGGAGATACTTGAGAACGCTATTGAGCGGGATGAAGTCTTAATACATCCATACCAATACCTGCACGACGAAGGAATAGCCGTGGTCAGCAAAGAACTCAGTTCACTGAAAGAAAAAATCGAACGCGTTTATGGTGCATGGAATGAAATATGGAACAACAAAAAGCTTGTGGGAGAGGGTCGGTATGCATTAATCGAAAAATGCTACCAAAATTACCTAGCTATACAGCCTGATAATCCAGACGATCCTAATATCAGACCATGGATGGCACCTTATCGTCGTTATGGATCATGTCATTGGGACACAATCAAAGCATCGGCACTGTATAACAGATACCCATGGCCCGAAAAATTGAGCTTTGTCTTCAGCCTGGCCGGATATACGCTTTCAAAGCTCAAGGCTGAAAGCTTTGAAGGGACCAGATCCGTGGTACTACCCATCCGCGCGAACCTCAAACCGAGACGTATCAAAACCCTATCTTACAGCGATGAATTGGATGATGTAGACGAAGACGAATACGATTTCGTTACTGCTCTGGAAGATCAGTTCCCGGGTTTTGGTGACGGGTATTGAGAATGGGGATATCATTCTCAACTGTTCAACGGCAGAAGCAGTCATCTCGATGAGTTACTGACGCAAGCGATGATCACACATGTTATCAAAACTAGCGCTCCTGGCTATCGAGTTGGCCCCAACGCCTCACTATGCCATTCATTACTACATCTTGAAAGATTGTAGTATCATATATGTAGGGGAAGAGAAAGATGATAGAAGAAGGGGAAAGGAGGAGAGGAAGAAAGGAAAGAGACGCATAAGGGGAAATATCCAAAACAAAAAGAGGGAAATGTAAGAGACGTGGCTGGGTAGATCGGGATTTCCATTGCTGTCATGCCGTGTCATACGCTGCAAGTTGTGCGTATCCATTGGCTCGGAACAGCAGATGTCTTGGAGGTCGATCTACCATGTTAGAATATTTTGTTTGCGATTTTCTTTTCTCTTTTCCATCATATGACATGAATTCCAAAGTATGCAAATGCTTTTTTTTCTCGTGCAAAAAGTAGTGTGCCAGCCTACACCCACACTACCGTGACGTCTTCTCTTTGCAGTGAACACGTACAACAAGCTACCCTTAGCCATCACACCCAGCGGATTTGATTACAAAAATATGGTACAATGAGGAATTTTTTTTTTCATAATTTCTCATTCTTCTTTCTTTCTCTAGAATAATATTGTGGGTATCATTAAAGCAACAAACAAAATCTGCACACACTCAGACACCAGTTTTCCCTCCATCAGCCCACCGTATGCGCCGCCGCCGCTACAGCCTTGATCTTCGCATTCCTCCTCTCCTCCTCCCTACGGGCCTCAACACCAGCCAAGAACTCCATACGACCCAAGTACGCCTCTTTAGTCTTACCATGAGTATCGAGTTCTTCTGCAATTCCTTCCTTGTCGACGAAGCCTGTCCAGTCCATGCGCGACTTGTCGACGACGTTGAGTCTCTGGGTTTTCTCTGGTTTTCTGGGGAGTGAGGGGTGTGTGGCTGCGTCTGCTTCTGTGCTGGTTTCTGGCTCTGGTCGGGCGGATGTGCGGGGCCATGAGAGTTGAAATTCTGGGGCGAGGGCGCGGACGTAACCGGTTGGGTTGGGGTCGAAGCGCGAGGGGCGGCGGAGTGGGCGACGGATTTTGGAGTCAGCTTGGTCGGAGGAGTGGGCTGGTGATTCTGCGGCGGGTGTGTCTTCGGTTTGTTTCCAGCCGTCTTTGAGGTACTCGTCGAGTTGGGAGCGGGGTATTTGCTTCTCTTCGGTTGTGTCCTGGCCGGCAAAGGTGAAGGTTTTCTTGATGGTGAGCTGTTCCTCTTCCTCTGCAGATGCTTGGACGTTGGCCACGGGCGTGTGCTGCGTTGGCGCATCGACTTCTTCTTGCGTCTTGGACTCTTGTAGCGGTTTCAGAGGCGCTGCCATCATCTGAGCCCACAGGGCATCGACATCGACGGTCGCCCCCTCGGTTCTCGCGAGCGGCCTTGTCTCCTTGCCCTCTGTTCTTCTTTGTGCCCGCGTCTTGACCAGGCCGCCCTCCCCACCTTCATCGTCGGATATGATCAGCTCGGCATCATCGTCTTTGTTGCCCTTGGCCCCCTTCTTCTTCGACCGCTTCCGTCGCGCAGCTTGTATGGTGACCTCATCTCCAGAGTCTAGCTCCTCATTCTGAGGCGCTTTTCGCTTGCCTTTGCGCTGTGCGGGTTCTATGGTGACATGGTCTTCGTCCTCAGAGCTCGATGCATCTTCAGCTGGGACGGCATTGGGGTCAAAGTCTTCGTCGGATGACTCGTGATACTTTTCTGAGGCGACTTCGAGGTCCTCGTCACCGTATGTGTGAGGCATGGTGGATGTAGAATTGGTGCCGTTGGAGTTGAGAGATCGCGTCGCGCATGTGCTAAAACGAAGATGGCGGCCCGTGCCAGATCGACGGCTAAGGCTCGCTTGGGTCTAGCGTAAGACAGGGATTCCCACATTGACGTGCAGTGACGTGAGCGGGGAATTGTGGTCGCGTCGCAGTTCAAAACAAGAGAGAGCTGCTTGAGGCTGGTTTAGCTTGCTTTGTTGTTTTCCATCCCTACTATTGACACGCTCGCATCATGCTCCTTGATCTCGGTGTCTAACCTTTGCATAACTTCGCATAGCAATCATGGCGCCAGTTGAGACTGACGCTGCCACGAGGAGCAACTCACTCCCCATTGCACTCTTTGGCGGGCAGGTCTTGCTCGTTACAGTCCTCACAGCTCACGTTCTGCTCACTACTCGTCGCGCTGCCAGATCACAACCGCCATCAACCCACACGCGCTCCCAAGACCCCGCGCGCCGACGTCACGCCTTTGTCTTCTCCGCCATTGCGCTCATATCACTGCTCTCAGTGGGGAGCTTCGCCTTCCTTTGGCGCGCCATCTCCTATGTACGGTGGGCTGAGCACAACAAGCAGGAGATCCCAGGTAGCTTATGGAGTGGTTGGTATGGCACTGGGGAGCAAGGACAATGGCATCTGGGCGATTGGATTGCCGATATAGATCTTGTGCGCGAATTCGATGCTGTAGGAATCATGAAGCCCGAGGGATTTCTCTACACCAGCCAATACTTTGTGGGGCTGATAGCAAGCTCCATCTTTATGGGTGCTGAAGGTACGTAGAACACCATCAGCGACCCCGTACATGCGATTTCTCCAGAGTATTTCGCTGACTCAATCACGTCTAGGACGCAGGCGCAATCTCTCCAACACTACTATTGCGTCTTTTGTACTACTGAGCTCTATTGGAAGTCTGGGATATTCCTTGAGCTTGTTCTTCATCACCATTTTGTACACACCTCTAACTCTGCAGCGCGGGGACTCGCCGCGACACGACACGCTGTTCACACCGTACGCCCTCGTCTACGACATGGGTATCGTTGCGTCACTCATCACACTCAACTTGTTCCCACAATTGGTGTCTGAGTTTGGTGACAAGAGCATGATGCGAGTGGGCTACCTGGCTATGCCTCTTGCTTTCGCCTTTGCGCCCCAGGTACGTAGCACGCTTCTGATATAATAGTCTCATCTGACAAGGATCCAGATTATTCCCTACTCCCTTGGCCATCAACACGTATCCAAGGCAGCAGCCCATCGTTCTTATGCCAAGGTCTTTTACGCATTGTCGCTGGCTTCTATCCTGGTGTACTGGCGGGTCTGGGCAACTCTACTCTATGTGAACCGGCCCTCTTCACGGTCTCATGTCCTAGACTTGTTTGCACATTCGTTTGGAAGGAGTGATTCCCCTCATGCAAACAAGCTCCTGGCAACTATCAGCAACGCCGGTCAGAAACTCAAACATATCAGCACACATCCTGCCATCAGTGTCACAAGTCTTGATGTGTTCTTTACAACCATCAGCCTGCTCACCTGGACTTTTACTAGAGACTTGGACGTTCATTCGATACTAGAAAGTAGCGTGCTTTCTTTCCTGGTACCAAGCCAGGAGAAGCACGTTGCTTTCAAAAAGGAACTGGCAAGGGTCATGGAACACGTCGAAGAGCCACCGCCAGCTCTTGATACGACTACGCCTAAGAAGCGCGGACGTCCTTCAAAGAAGGCGAATGGTTCATCTGGCGCAGCGCAGCCGGCTGCTTCAGCTGGACCTGTCAGGCGGAGCACTAGAGGAAAAGTGTACAGCCCCGAATCTGACGCGGATGTATTGGAAGACGAGCAGGACGCTACCTATCAGCCAAGCGAAGAGACAAAACGAGAAGTCGAGGCCATGGAATCGGACGGGTCACTGTCAGACGGTGACGTCGTGTCTGCTGGAGAATCGACTGCGCTGGCCCTGTTCCTTGCTTTCTTTGGTGGGCTTGGACAGGTGGCAGCTGGTACTTTAGGCGCCGAAGTGACTGGCCCGAGGGACTGAGGGGACCAGAAGGAGTTTGTACAGGATGAGTGATGGTGGGTATGATTCCATGTGCTATGTGGCGTTTGAATGGAGTCTAAATCAAAGGTGCGGCTGGATGCGGGTGTATGGGTATTCGGTTTATGGAGATTGGAAGATCACTGCTTTTGGTTTTCTGGCTTAATACCCCGGCAATTGGAACCGGAGCGTCGGATGCATTTGATATTGCTTTCTCAGTCTTAGCAATGCAATACCAGCCAGATAGGGACATATGTGCATTGGAAACTAGATCTGGGTGTGACTAGTATATGCCTGTGTGGTCTGATTGGTGCTTTCTTTTCCTTTTCTTTTATTTCTTTTCGGCTTGGGCTCCCACGACTAGCCGTAGTACACAGGGCTGTCAGCTACGAGTACTCAGCATGGAAGAAGAGCGAAGCCCCTGGTACGGCGCCCAAGCAGTGCTTGCGCAGCGCAGTGACGTTGCTACGGAGTGGATCTATAGTTATCCGCGACAAGAAGGTCAATCCTGGTCTGCCATGGGATACTCCCGTCAGCTCTGACTCATGCCGGGCTGCCCTGTCGATATGATTGCCTTCACCGCTCCGAGGGCCTGGACTGGGTTGCTTGGCCATGAATGCTCGAGGCGTCGGCTGGAGAGGAAAGTGTGGTGGATGTTGGAGGCGACAGAGCGCGGTGCCTGAAGATCTTGCTGCTTTGGGCCAAGATGGCAGAGGGCAACGACGTAACCACGACCCAACCGTCGCGTCGCAGTGACGCTCGACTTGATCCTGCGATAATTTTTTCGTCGTCGAGGGCGTTGGAGTCAGGCCACTGCGGCTGCGTATCAGCAGTTTTGATTTATTTCCGATTCGGCATCGACTCGTGTGCCAGGAAGAGGTTCTAGGGCCGGCTTCCGCTGCCAAAGCATCCCTGCCGACCCGGCGTTGTCGGCTTGGAGCAACCAACGAAGGGCGCCTCCGAGTGGAATTGCACCTGCACAAGGCCTGTTTGGGCGGGCGAGTGAAACCGGGTGGTGTTGGAAGAGAGGTCTTGGATACTTGTGCGCGCATCTGGCCCGAGGCTGGCAGTCAGGTCGGGCTCCGAGCCAACAGGCGGCCAGGGTGCAGGAAGGAAGGAAGGGTACCGACTGACTGATTGTCGCGAGGCTAGGGCCTAACGACCACCTCCACCGTGCGCACCGCAGAGACGCTACACTACCACCGTATAACCATGGAGGTAAGCCCATCTCTCTTCTCCCGCTCCGCACTCTCCCCACATGGTCCATTGTCGTCTCTCTCTCTCTTCAGCTAGCTCCCGTCTAAGCCACGTGTGTCGCGTCGCCAGTCTCCCCCAGCCCTATATGCTCGTTTGCACCATGGCCTAAGCTCCCCTTTTGTACCCTCGGCCCACTGTCAATTGCCTTGGGCGTGTCACTCTTGTAAAACATCACGGCCGCTCCTCATTGACCCGTCACTTTGTCGTCAGCCTCGCCATTCCTACGAGCCCGACGCCCTCGTGGCTTGCCTCCAGGCCTGCATATCACGCCCTGTCCGAGCGTGGCTGCCCTCTCCTAAAGTACCACGCTTCACCGCGCAAATGTCGGTCCGTTGAGGTCAAGACAGAAGGCGCCGCTTTGTAATCTTTGGTTCTGTGTTTTTTTCTTCCTTTGGCGCGGCGCTTCCTTTTCTCACGATACCCGTTTCTTTGCGCTACTTGTCTTTTTCTTAGCCATATACCCTGTACAACCACCATTGCCACCTCCACCACCCCATACACTACTATGGAGAGCCGTTACCTCTCCCAGCAGCGCTCAGCAGCCGTCGACGCAGCGCGCAACATCACCCGCGAAAATGCCCAAGAAAAAGCACAAACATCAGCCAGCTCGTCACTTCTCAAGCCAAGTGCACAATTAACCATGGACCGCTTTCTACAGGACTTGCCGAATGCCGAACAACCGCCGGTTGACTTTTCACCCCAGTACCATACAGGCCGCGTGCCAAACAGCAAGGCCGGAGATGGCAAACCACGGCTGCTGCTCATGGGTCAGCGAAGGTGAGTTTCAGCAAAAGGTTTTGTGTTTCCAACGCTAATCATGTCACAGGAGTGGAAAGTCGTCGATATCAAGTGTCGTCTTCCACAAGTTGCCGCCGAGCGAAACCCTATATCTAGAGACTACCTACAGGATCAAGAAAGAGTCTATGCAGTAAGCCACACCTCAAGTACATATCTTCTTATACTAAACAAACACAACAGCTCGTTCATGGACTTTCAAGTATGGGATCTCCCCGGCCACCTAGACTACTTCGACCCAGCCTTCGATACCGACAATATCTTTGAGGAAATCGGAGCGCTTATATGGGTCATTGACGCACAGGATGAGTATCTCGATGCTATTGCCCGGCTCAACATGACCATTCTCAACCTGCAGCAATCATACCCCAACATTAACGTAGAAGTCTTTGTCCACAAAGTCGACGGGTTGTCAGATGACTTCCGCGGTGACACCTTCCGTGACATTATCCAACGAGTTCAAGACGAACTTTCAGACCACGGCTACGAGCAAGCGCCCATATCCTTCTATCAGACGTCCATTTACGACCAGTCCATCTTCGAGGCCTTTAGTAAAGTCATCCAAAAACTTATTCCGCAACTGCCTACACTCGAGGCATTGCTCAACAACCTGTGTGGGGCTTGCAACATTGAGAAAGCATATCTCTTCGACATTATGAGCAAAATATACATTGCAACTGATACGAGCCCAACCGATATCGGCAGCTATGAGATCTGTTCCGACTACATCGACGTTGTCATTGATGTCAGCGAGATTTATGGTTGGGATCGGCCTGACGACGGAGACAATGAAAGTGAGATGGGCAACAACGATGCAGAGAGCTTGATCACCATGGAGAAGAAGAATAGCAGGTATCTTTACTTGCGTGAGATTAACAAGTAAGTCAATCTAGAAATGGTGCCTCGTCAAGGGGTGGGTGCTGATCGCTGGCAGGTACCTCGCATTGGTGTGTATCATGGGCCAGGACAATCCAGCAGAGAAAAAGGCTCTCATTGACTACAATGTCGGAGTCTTCCAGGCGGGTCTCAAACAAGTTTTCCCAAAGAGTGACAGAGAGGCGCAGGTCGAAATCCGCAACATCCACGACTCCTTGGATCAATGATTCAAACGTTACTACTTGAACATGAAAAGAAAGATATTGCCTAGTTGCTGTAAATATTTAATGCGACTAATTGCTGCCACAATTATGCGTTTGGCAGGACACTCTCTTACACCAACAAACATAATATGTAAACTTGTATGATAAAAGAAAAGGAAATAAAAAAGGCTTGTCTGTGCAAGATTGGTGCTCAGATTTTTCAACACAGGGTTTGTGTATATCCATTTTAGTATACCTGTAAAGGTGAAGTTCAATGTGTAATTAATTTCTTCATGCACCGAATTCTAGAATTTCTGCGGGCTCAAGCGAAAGCGCAGTGGCCAGATGACATCAACCGGGATTCCGGGACGAGGGGCCCAATCATCGGAACGGGGATGCGCGTTACTTCCGACGTACAAGACGCGAGGAGCAATCTATTTCTCCGCATTCCGCGCGCGCATTGCATCGTCTCTCTTGGCTTTTGGACACGTTTTTGGGCAATCTCACCTGGGTAGTTCTTTGTTTTTGAGGATAGTAAGCTGGTGTAGTTGAGTTCATCTGCCATTGTGCAGTGCTGTTCTCGAGCTGCAGGCCGGTTGTAAACGGGTATACAGTCTCTCTCTGCGTTCTGCCCTTCTTTGGTCACTGATCTCGAGACACTACAGAAACTATCGGCAGACTTCAGGTTGGGTAGTTGGCACCATCGTCGTATCTATCCTATTCGACTCCGCGTTGCACAACCGCACTCTCGCGACTCCTATATTACCACCGATAACACTGACATAATGTCATCATCGGCACGATACCGTCGCCCTGCAAAGGATAATGGGCCCACAGATGCGACAAACTCGGCTGGAGTCCCAGATCTTGTAGCTGCAAAAGAAAAGGCTGAGCTCAAGCAGGCGGTCAAAGAGCAGGCCGAGGCAACGTCAAATGGCCTCTCAGTACTAGATGTACTGCGTATACTGGGCGGACTGGTACTGTTGAGCTGTGGACTGAGCTATCTGAGTACCAGTGGAGAGAGCATGACATGGGGCTACAACCCATGGTGGACACGAGCCCGCGAATGGAAGAGTCTGATTGTACGTCACCCCATGTCGACATCTCGGCGGCACATGTGTACAGAGTCCATACTAACCACTTATCACAGCAAGGCGAGGTTGTCCTCACCGACAGCGAACTCGCACTATACGACGGCTCTGACCCCAAGAAGCCCATCTACCTAGCTATTAACGGCACAATCTACGACGTCTCCATCTCGCCCACCACCTACGGCCCGGGGGGCTCATACCACTTTTTCGCCGGCAAAGACGCCGCCCGTGCCTTCCTAACCGGCTGCTTCGCCGAAGACTCGGTCCCAGACCTACGCGGTGTAGAGCAAATGTACATGCCCGTGGATCCCGAAGAAAAGGCCTCTCTCACCCCCGAGGAACGCGCTGCTGCAATGGAGAAGGCGCGCCACAGGAAGAAGCTCAGCAGCGGCGAGCTGAAGAACCGACACGCGCAGGAACTTAAAAGTGCGAAGAAACAGGTGGTCGATGGCTTGGAGAACTGGCATAAGCTGTTTAGGGGTGATAAGGGGAAGCCTTATCGTCGGGTGGGCCATGTGAAGAGAGAGAAGGATTGGCTGGAGAAGACGCCTAAGAGGGGGTTGTGTGAGCAGGCTGAGAAGGGGAGGCCGGTTAGGAAATATGATTAAGGTGTGAGGAGCAGAGAGAAAGGGGGGGGTTTAAAAAAGGCAGGCAGGGCATGGAAAACTGAGTATATGGTGCATTGCAAGGTTTCTTGTTTATTTTCTGCCAAAATCTTGATACTGCACTCAAACAGGCTGATTACCTCTTTTTTTTGGTACAAATAGGATTCGACATGTAATGTGATCATTCTGTTATTATGAAGAGATTTTAGGTTCTCTTCTTGTAGATTTTTTTTGGCCTCACTTTTCTCTCAATCCTGTCGAGACAAATGAACGGTAACAATGGCGACATGTGAAGACCTGTATCTTAACCTTTTTATTTTATTCATATACTGGATGTCCCTTGACTGTACTGTATCTCTACAACCAAGTCAACACTAATAGCTTTTCTTGAGCATGTGTTACGGATTCAAGGCAACAATTGAGCGTGAAACATTTCTTTTCAACCAACCCGTCTCTTCTGCATTTTTTTCCTGATTTACCATGCATTGCTCAGTTATTCAACATAGACCAGCGGTGAATATGGCATCAAGAGTATGAAAGTAGGAGAATGTTTCGAGAACTCGTGGTCGCTAGTATACGTCAGTGCTTATTGGGCTTTAGCCAGATCCGCACACGGCATTTCAATGGGTTCTTGAAACATATTTGTTGCAACTCCACCTCTTTTCATCAACAGAAGCACCAGCTTCTCCAACAACTCTAGCATCGGTGGTTTAGTGGTAAAATTAGCCGTTGCCATCTCCTCGAGAACAGTTTCGGCTAGCCCCGGGTTCGATTCCCGGCCGATGCATTTCGTTTTTTTGCTTGCTGGCATGCTGTCATGTGGGACAAGGTCGTGTTGTGTGCGTTGTTCGAAATTAAATTCTTTTTTTGGTTAGGGTTCGGCTAATGCTGATGGAGTGGGACAGTCACGTGGCACCACTTGAGATTGATTGTATCATGAGAAAGTGTACGTATGGTAACTATGTTTTGTATGTATGCGCTAGGGATGACCTGGGAATAGGTGTTGCTGCATGGCTTTGTCACTTGGGTACTTTTGTCTTTGCTTTTTTTCTTTTCAAACCGGGAATTCGGTCGGGTGTCTAAATTTCCATTTCTTATACTTTCAAGGGTTTGACTTACCACAAGTCTTAATTCCCCCCCGTCCCCAACCTTACTTTTAATAGTGAGTATTATCGATATTAACAAAGTATATAATGGCTTCAAGGGGAAACAGTCATCTACACTTCCCCAAAGAGGAGCCTTGGCGCAATGGTAGCGCGTTGGTTTTCGGCTTTGAACTGTCTCTGATCACCAAAGGTTGTGGGTTCGGTACGTGGCATTCCTAATGGGAACCGCTTCTTTCGATCCATGTTACTAACGTAATTTGACATAGATCCCCATGGGCTTCGCTGTCTTTTTTCTCTTTTGCTTTTTTTTGATCTCACTCTCACTCTCTCTTTTTTTTACTGTAGACTGTTCGAGCGTGCTTTGATCCATAATCTACATGCCTTTTGTGTTTAGCAATTGCCTTTCTGTGGGTGCTTGCGTTTTGTGAATGAGCTTGGCTGAAGGACCCCCTCTCTTTTTTTCCTCACCCTCGCAAAAAATGCTGAGTGAGAGGGCTGGCCCTTTGAGTTTCGGCCATGTGAGACGCAGGAGACAGGATTATTTGCGGCGCGCTCGGATGCCTTGGGGTGCTGGTAAGGTTGCGAATTTAGTCGCCGTTCCAAAAGGCGAAACTAGTTAAGAGCGATGATATATACCATGGAGACGGCTGATCTACAACTGACGGGAAAAAAGGAATTAAAACAGCACAGCTAAGAAGCGCAATGGCCCACTTTGGCTCTCCAATCTCCCGAGTTTCAGATACATGGATGTCATGGCAGCAGCCGGGTACATGCTTTACCGATACATAAGTAAACGCTCAGGATGCCCAAGAAAGCGGATGCAAAAGAGGGCCTGAGAATCCTGCTCGCGTCATTCTGCGGCAGGCACTTTGTGATACACACATGGTACTTGTAGATCATAGGCAACCCATCATCCGAAATCTGAAACAGCTGCACCAGATCGATGGGCATTGGCCTTGGCCGCAGCTCAGCAATTGGCCTGTGTCTGCTTTTCAACGACGCGGGGAATGACGCAAAGTTGGTTGGTGTATCAAAAGTTGGGGTCGCAAGAAAAAGAAAGGAAAGGAAAAGAGACATTGGGTGCCGGCCAGCAGCAATCTGGCTCAAGCGCATTGGTACAAAGTGCTCTCGGACCGAAATCATTCACCCAAGCCGAGGCAGCATGTAGATAAATAGGCAGTTTGAAGACTTGCTGTTTGCATAACACAATGAGAAAAAAAAACATGAGAAATTTCCACCAAGGAATGCGGTCTAGAACGTTGCAGTTTTTTTCAAATGCCTGTTCATAAGTCTGACCCCAAATTGCCAAGCGAATTATACGTAGTCGGGGTCGCATGGGGATGCTGGGGGCAATCAGGCCATATGGTTAGTGTCAAAGACAGACTTCAGCCAGTCAATCACCAGAGAAGCATGGACCAGAGAGTTCGACTGGATTTATCTAAACCAGATCATGTTGCTCGTTGGGCGAGTCGTGAAACAGGTCAAGGTAAGTATATAGTTTGGATTGCGTGTTGTCGAGATCAGCAGTATTAGGTGTGGGTGCACGCCCGTTATTCTGCAAGATGATCGAACAGCAGTTCGACAGTGTCATTTTAGCCATGGGTCACAGGAGGCTTTCCAAGATCCCGCAGGCGACGGCAGGACGGGAATCGGGGATCGGGAGGCTACACGTATGTACATGTGTGTACATTCAGCTAGTCATGTGCGTTCCTATTGGCTGAGTAGTTGCAATCAGAGAGCATGGGGGGGGGGAGGTGTACACAGCGGCATCGGCATGAGCAGCATCAGTATGCGGAGCTGGGAGGCGCAGACAGCAAGTGGGCCAGTATGGCGTACCAGACGGGTAGAAAGTGTAGAAGACATGATTGGCGGGCAAGAGTTGATTTGTGACTGAAAACGGTTGAGGAAGCGTCAGAGGGTGCATGATGCATGGCAGGTGGAAAAGGCGTATTCTGAGCCGGGACGGGAACTACTAGGTTTGGTTGGCTACGCCTATCGGAAGAGGTGGGATGAGAACAGGTGGATGAGTATCTGTCCATCAGCACCGGTCAGAATGGCGGCTTGGTGGACAGCCGGCGTTGCTCGGACATGTGTATAGGGAACTAGTGGTTTGCTGACGGCCGTGCATCATGAGTCGTTGCGGTCATCGCGTCCGCGTCCGCGCCTGAGGCCTGGGGCGATGGTAAGTAGCATAACGACGCAGTTGGATTAACGGCGTGCTGCAGTCGCCGCGGCAAGACTGTGGATGCAGCAGTAGCGGCATTAGTGTTGGGCGCTCTGCAGGGCTGGTTTCGTCGATACTTACGATTACGTCGCGCGGTCCCGCCAGCCTGGACGGCTAGCCATGCGATGAGTCGATTGCAGCATGCCGGCGAGACTAGCGGACGTGGCTGGCGGCGTGAGACTCGGTTCGCGCAATGCTTCAGGAGCAGGATACGGTTGGTGCAGTAGGGGTGTATGGTTGTCGCGAGCGTACGCATGAAGTATGTGTGCACTCTAGTATGTGCCAATGGGTGAGTGTAGGCATTGTCGCGGGCATGCAGAAACGAGGGCGGGGATTGGCTCCGAGGCCGAAAATAGAAATGGCAGCTTGAAGACGATCGCGCCATGGCAGGTGCTGTGGTCGGGGTACGGGACTGTACTCTGGGGTACGGCAAGAGGCCAGGCGCGCAGACGAGGGGGATTGCCAGCCAGCCAGCAACAAGCACCGTCGGTTTCGCACTGATTGCGCACTCATATCGCAGGAAATGATGGCATGCGCGGCATACATGCAAATCAAACACGTCTCATCTCGCCGGCTTCCCCACACGCCTTGGCGGGCATTTGCATGTTGTGTGTCGCGGCGTAGGCATTGGGTTGCGGGCGGCGCACCCGCACGAGGAGGACAAGTACTGGGCGTCGTGGTTCTACATGGACAGTCGAGTGCTGTAGTGTGTACGTATAGAGGACGTGTCGGGTCGTGTTTGGGCCGATGTTGTGCCGCGGACCCTGTAGGGACATGCCCAACACGGCCTGTCGTGAGCCCGCAAAAGGCCTTCGCCTCTGCTGGAGCGGGGTACAGGCAAGTCGGTGAGCCATGCACATCTGCATCCATACCCATACCCATACCCATACCCATGCCCCGTGCCCATGGCGACAACGGCCTCTTATCGCACTGCAACCAGCAACTCGAAGAATCCCACCGCCATTCGTTGCTCGTCCTGTCCTGTCCTGCCCTGCCCTGCCCTGCACTGCAAACCCTCAGCCGCAGACGCCCTGCTGTGGGTCGCGCCGGCCGAGCTGTGTGGATTCGGGATTGGCCCTGTCGTTCCCCCTCTCACATAGCGATTCCCACTCTGTTTACCAGATCGCGTCGTATTTGGCATGGCCTCAACGCGTCCAACCACACGCCTATTCGCTCACATGCGACGGGCGATGCCACACCCCACCCGCGCCCACACACACCCTCTTTGCTTGGGACGGCACAAATTCCAACCCGTCCTCGCACGCTTCGTCTGTTAAGGCATGATGTGTCCCGCAGACCCTGGAATACGGGCTCGAAAGCGTTTACCGCGCCATTGCTGCCATCCTCTTTTGTGCTGCCTCTCGGTGCTTCGGCATATCGACTGCAGCCGTGGCGTTGAGACATGGACTTGTGCAGTGTGCCGTTGCCATGCAGCAACAAGCTTCCGAAGCGCCAGGGTGCAAAAAAGATCGGAGAGGGAGCAGGAGCAGGAGCAGGAGCAGGAGCAGTGCGAGCAGTAGCGACAGCTGCACCAGCACCAGCACCAGCCGTGGCCTTGGAGGCGTCACCAGGCCCTCCGTTTGTTTTGCTGCATCGGCAGCGCCCGAGCACCGTGGGCCGGGGGGCAGCAAGGACTAGGGTCAGGAGTGAAGCTGGCGAAGGAGCCGGAAACTCTATGCTTCTTTTTTCCAACGTCTCCGAGGCGGATCAAGCACAACGGGCGATCGGCTCGATTGCAGGATAAATGCCATGCGCGCCTATGTAAACAATAGTGAAGAGGCTACGTAAGCAGGCCGCCGTGGCCTCAGGCAGCACCAGCCCGCCCAGCCCAGGCCTCGACCGCGACCGCGACCGCAAAGAGGGCAAGACTGCAAAAGCCATCTATCTGCTTGCATTGAATCCTGAGCCCCGTGCGAGAGTGTGTGCACAGAAACCCCGTGACCTGGCCGTGACCTTGACCGTGGCACCGTGGAGAGCAGAGGCAACGTGCCCCGTTGTCTTCTGGCGTGAGAAGCTAATTGAGAGTCTCCTAGCAGCGCGCCCGTGCGTGCTCCCCGACTAGTGCGGCCCCTTTGCCTGACAACCTCAACTCTTCACCGCGACCGCCAACCCTACACTCCCTCTATTATTTTCCTTTTCTGCTTGCTTCTTGAATCGCTCGTCGTTTCCAGCAGCAGACGGCCCACTCTCGTATACCGACCAATGCAGGCTTGAGGGACTGCTCGGGAGGCTTGGTACACGCTGCCATCTCCGTCGATTCACGACAGCCTTCCAAGCGCTCGACGACCTTCTCTTTCTATTTACTGTTTTAATACCTTTGCGCTGCTTTCCTTTCACTCCCAGGTATACAGTCCCCTCGAAGCCCGTCACCACTGCCGACCTACAGCCTCATGGCTGCATCACCAATGCCCTCATCCCTTGAACCCGCTGCTCTCCTGCTCCTGCTCCTGCTCCTGCTCGCCCGCCTCGGTTCCGCGATTCTGTCTGTCCTCAGTCCACATCGCTCCACCACCTACCACTCACCGCCCGTTCGCACCCATCCAACCATCATGCTAACCTTGTGATGCTTGACAGGTTTTCGCTTGCTCATTTCGGTCGCTGCCGCTGCCGGTACTGCTACTATCGCAGTCGACGAGCCTATAGCTGATCCCCCCATCGAGCTCCTAACAGCCGTTACCCTCACAGGCCACCGATGGCTCAGGTACTCACGTCAGTCATCCAGACGACAGGACCTCATACAATGCCATACTCGTCGTCCGATGCCTACAAAAACACGCCCACCCACTCCACCCAGCAACAGCCGCGCCCGTCGCAGATGCCACGCAAGGAGCACAGCGCGAATTCTGCACCTACAGGATACAGAACAGCCGCCGCACCCATAGCCCCATATGCCTTTAGCAGCACGCCGCAACTGCGCCAGGAGAACAGGTCCGTCTCGGCACCTTCCCCCCAAGGCCTGCAGCAACTCCCGGCTCCCGCCAGCCAGGCCCGTCTAGGTCATCCCTCCCACCCATCTTCTTCATCCGACTCCACTGTATCCACATCAGGGTCTTCCAATCGTTCCTCGGCCGGGACGGCTGTAGCCGCCAAAGACGACAGCGATGCCAAGAAGCCTATCGACAGCATTGCGCCATCACTCACTCTCTCCTCCACCAATCTTGATCTTTCGTTTTCTGTTGGCGAATCGCCAGTGAAGCCATCGCCAGGGCGGTATCGACGTGGCGCCGGAAGGTCAGATTCGTCAAATAGCGTACCCACTGGCTCCACTACCCCAACACAGCGCTCCGCACCTGAAGGAAACTCTCAGGCGGCACCTTCACAATCAACGCCAAACGGCACATCAGGTGCTGTCAGCTTGCCACAGCCATCGAAACCCGCCCACAACCGAGCCAACAGCGCCGATGATACTGTTCGCACAGGCGGTACGGACCAGGCTAAACGATACAGAAGGCGCAGTTTCAACGGACTAGAAGGGGAGAATATCACCCCGAGCAAAGCATCATTGCAGACCAGCCCATCCGCAGGTCAACCTCCAGTGTTGAACCAAAACGTTACTAGACCATCCAGTTCTGGCCGCGCCGGAAGTCGTCCTGCCTCAAGTCAGAGTCATGAACGACAGGGCAGCGCAGGCAGTGCGTCGTCCAACAATTCGTCGAGATCACAGGTGAGTCTAGCCAACACACCACACATAATCGTGCTAATATAAATTGCAGTCTCGGCCTGCTGCAAACACACAACGCAGCTACGCCTCCGTAGCAGGAGGCAACTCCGGCAAAGCAACTGAGCCGAACAGACGTCGGGCTCCCTCCCCTCTGTCACATCCCATCTCTCCGTCAGAGTCTCCGGGCCAAGCCAAGCCAGAGGCGACGTCCAGTGCCGCGATGCAGCAGCTCAGTGCTGTCAACGACAAGGACAAGGGTATGAAGTCCCGTCTGCGCAGGGCGTTCTCCTTTGGCAGTGCCGCTGAACTCCGACGTGCTTCTGCTGAGAATAGCATCTCGGTCGAACGCGCAAGGTTGAGAAAGGGCCAGTATCAGAATGATGAAGATGCTGAGCAAGCAGCCATTATCGCAAAGCAAGAGGCTGCAGGTATCGGGGCTGGCATTTACTCTGGCCAGGGTGGCGTCGGCTCCACGGACAACTTGTCCATACAGTCTGCTGCATCTTCTGCGTCGGTTATGCTTCGCAAAATGGGTCATGGAATGAAAAAGGGTACCAAATCGATCAAGGGTCTCTTCAGACCCAAGTCAGTTATTGGTGTTCCTGCTGCTGATGGCCCCATCAGACCTAGTGTTGGTCAAGTGTCTCTCGTCACTGTTGAGGCCGAGAGACACAAGGTTAACGTCAACGCCCACCCGCAGACACAGACTCGGGGAGGCACTGGCTACCCAAGACTTGAGCGCAACTCGATCGATGCTGGACAGACCGCAGAGATTGTTGACCCTTCAGTCTCGGGTAGTGATTCTATTTCCAGGAAGAGCATTGTTGGGTCTGAACGCGACCGTGCCGAGGTTCTTTCTTCGATGAAAAAGGGTATTTTGAAACGTGGGTACTCTGTATCTTTTGCACATGCAACTGCTAACAATGAACCAGGTACTGGTACTAGTTCCGAGTCGAATTCTCCAGTAATAAGACCTGAAGACAGTCTTCCTAACGTAGGCTCGTCGAGGTCCAGTTCTCCCGCCACTCCAAAAACAGAAGTTGGACAATCCCGCACCGACGACTACTTTGCAAAGCCACCTCGTATTCACAACGGCAGCACCAGAAGTCTTCCAACCACGCCTCATGGTGGTATGCGCAATATCAGCTTCAGCCCACGCATTCAGTTTCACGACGCATGGTCACCGCAAGACTACGACCGCAGAGGTGACATTGCCACGTGTAATAGGCTGACGCCGATGCTTGCGCAACAAATCAAGGAAGAACTCAACTCCTTCAAAATGGTACGCATTGTCTCTACGATGCTCTCGGAAAGATTTGCTAACCCTCCCCACAGGAGATGGAAGTTCACGAACTCTCGAAACCCCACACCCATTTCTTTTAATGATTATGCATCCACCATTTGGACATGGCGTCTTGGCGAATTCCTCTCATTGTTGCACTTGTGGATTTGAGCCACCAGCATTCACCACTTGTCAGCCCTGTTCCCTGTTCTGGTTACCACGGACTTGTTCTTCCATCTTAGCGAGCATTTGCAATCACGTAGAGGAGACCGCCCTGCTTGCATTGGAGGTTTCTGCAAGCCTGTTGGCAAGGGAAAAAAATCACAAAAGATGGGAGGAGAAAGTTTTAGCTGGAATTACCTTCCCTTGCCTTCATCTCTTTCTGTGGGTCTCAGTCGTATGTTGACGTCCTTTTTCTTTTACCGTCAAGCTTGTCATTCTCTTGTTAGTCTCCTTGTCTCAGTTACAATCATTGTTGGGTAGTCTCTGCGCTGCATATATCGTGGAGAAAACTGTGTAAGGAGAGGTAGGAAGTACTTGGGGGCGCAAGGGTCCTTGGTAGTTGGCTTGTGCCGAATAGCTGTATAATTGCAGTAATTGGAAGGCGACACTCCATGTTCCTATGTTTTGTGTTTTACTGTATAGACAATCTTTTGTTGGGATAATTGCCTGGGCTGGCAGTAGTCTCGCTCCAATATTGATCATCCATTCGCCACATCTTGAGATTGGAGCACTAACGGATGCTCCGTCTTCTCGACCAAGTCCCCTTGACACTTAACAGCTCGTACACTCATTCGACATTTGTCGCAGCGCATTAACGGTCAGACCCGTACGTGTCCAAGTCACGGCAATTAGCCGTCGAGGTCAATCTCCGATACCTTGCACAAATCTGGGCAGTTTACACACATGCCCGGCACTCACTTCATCTGCCAGCAACACTCTGATAACCCCACACCTGTCAATACCGCCCCGCAAAAAATACTTTTGATCACGCGAACCACACCTTCCCGTTCAAGAACGTCAATACAGCCATACGTGGGGGTGAGTGTAACGGCAGGCGATATACGCGCTAGTCTTTTGATTCATCGAAAGTATCGCATGTGGCAGCATGTCCGCAACCTTAAAACAGTCGCCTGATCACCGCTTTTGGAATACGACAATGTGGTGCTCGACAGCCGTGCCAAGGGATTCAAGGGGCAGAAAGGAGTGAAGCCAGGAACGGATAGCGCAAGTGTTGCTAAATATATGTTTGTAGCAAGTGCAAGTGACGACATAGAACGCACGTGCTGGCTGCATCCTTGGTTGTGAAAACTCATACAAGGGGTATTATCAAATCGATGCACGGATAGTAAGCTGGTGCAAGACCGTTGCAAATGGTGCTGACCAAGGAAGATGAATGGACTGGCGGATGAATATCACGTGATCATATCGCTCGCTTGACCGCTGACTTAGCGCGCCAAGATCGCGCACCGGACACGAAATTGGTGTCGGCTCAGCTTGTCGGTCTCTCCTCAGCAACCACACACATCCGACAAAATGGTATGTCCTGTCGCCGAATAACCTATTGAAGGGGTGAGGGAAAGAATGGACGCTGACTATTTCCAAGGCACCTGCAGCAACTGGAGGCAAGAAGCAAAAGAAGAAGTGGTCTAAGGGCAAGGGTATGTGATACCGCAATACGCACCATCCAGCACCTCTACACACACCGAGAATATCCTACCATACGCGAAATCATCTTTTGAGAGCCCCATTCCTTCCCACGGCCTTTTGCGCACATTCCGGGTTCCATAATGAAGAAACGCCACTGACAAACCCGCAGTCAAGGACAAGGCCCAGCACGCCGTCGTTCTCGACAAGACCACCAACGACAAGCTCCAGAAGGATGTCCAGTCCTACCGCCTCATCACCGTTGCCACCCTTGTCGATCGTCTGAAGATCAACGGCTCGCTCGCACGAAAGGCGCTTGCCGACCTCGAGGCCAACGGTCAGATCAAGAAGGTTGTCGGTCACTCCAAGCTCAGCATCTACAGTATGTCCGCCATTTAGTTTTCGTGATATTACCCTCTTCGGCTCCATATGAATTGGGCCTTGGGGAGTAAACCGTTGAAAACAAACTAACAATGCCTAGCCCGAGCGATTGGCGACGCCGAGTAAATTTGCGTTTACGGACAAGTCAATGAATCCAAACGCGAGACTCGGGACACCTCTTTCAGTTTTTCAACGGCATTCCTCTTTCCATTTCCGATCGGCGTCTTCATGAAATGAACGGGTCACTATATTGGGATGCAAGCTTCACAGCGGGACATGAAATGAGAGGAGCGGGCTCAGGTACAGCACCTGGAGTTCATGGGATGTGCCGGTTACGTACTGAATGAAAAAGATATCCGAAACACCCAAACTGAAATGGCCCGAACCTTCCGTGACTATCATTCTATCATGATGTGTGTGTGTGTGTGTCTGCAAAGGATGATGATTTTTGGTCCAACATTGAATATGCGTGGCGTGACTACGTCTCGGATACAGCAGATAACCTTGTACGGACACTACTTATACGTGCTATCGGTCCCATTATCAGACCGTTGGTGGGTACTGTGAGCATGGATGAGGAAGAGAGTTCAATTCGAAGGATTACAACTATTGGGATGAAGAGGAAGGTTAGGATAGACCCCAAAAACGAGGAACCACCGGGAGGTATTGCCAAAATTATTCATCCTTTGAGAAGAAGCCAACGTCTCCACTCTTCTCTCCCATTTCCACTAGTCTCTCTCGCATCTTCTTCGCTCGCTCCGCCATCCCAGGCTCGAATCCTTCAAAGTCATATTCCTTGGCCCATTCCCCCACACCATGTTGCAGTACATTCCTCGCTCGCTGACTGCCCGCCAGTGGAGTCCCAATACTACCATGCAACGTCATTCTCTCCTTTGTGCAATCGTAGACGCCACGATGAAGAATATTGTTATTGTAAAATGCCACTTCGCCCGCCTTTAGCTTCACGGTGATTTGACCGGGCATATTTGCTTCATAAGGGTCCGCATTGCGCTCGACATGTGTACGTGCGCGTTTATGCGATCCAGGGACGAGCACAAGACTGCTGTCATCGTACAAGGCCAGATTCCACTGAGCGTGATGACCTGGTTTCTGCAACCGCTCCAGTTCCTCTTCGGCCGTGGCCGTCGCAGCAATGTCGTCTCTGTGCCACCGTAGACTAAACTCTTTGTCTGGCCGTACAAGCATGTTGTACAGCTCCATGGTTAAGTCGTCTTCGCCACATCCGATCAGCGCGGCAACGTATTTCAGGAGTTCGCTGTCGAAGTAGGATTTTGCGAAGACAAGATGATCGGGGTTGGATGGGTGGAGCAGGTGCTGCACGCCCCATATACCGTCTGAGGGATCTTGGGGCCAGGGCGGGAATTGCTTGGGTAGGGTACGGATGTAGGGCCATTTTCCTTCTCGTGCTGCCGTGGTCATGCGTGAGGCTGCGGCGCGAAGGGCATCCAGATCGAACGAGGGGAAGAGAGATGCGGAGAGGACGACGAAGCCATCACGGTCCAGTGCTTCCTTAGCTGCCTTGTACGGGTCTTTGCTTGAAGATGTGATGTTTGAGGGAGCCGGTGAATCATCTGGTGTTTGTTTGGCAGCTGCTGGTTGTGCAAAGGGTAATGGTAAGAGAGACTTTGCGCTGCCCATTGCGCCGCCTTTGTCTGGTTGGTGCTCGAGTCGTCGGTGCATCTTGCCTGTGCCGAGGCTGGTGGTGAGGAGGGATAAAGGTAAGATGAAGGGCCATTGAATGTGCATCATATGACGTTGTTCAGCTTGCAGTGTAAGGCTACCCCGCATGGTATACCAGCCCCCACCATTGTCCTCATGTAGTAATGGCTATTCGGTGGTGGCTGTTTCCAAATCATATGCTATGCAGTTGCTACTACGATATAGCTGCCAGTACAAATGCTGGCTGCTCTTCGCGCACTTGATTTTTCTACACTTTGCTTTGACATAAATGAATCCACTTCATTGACTTTTGAGACCTTGATTGATTCGGCCAAAAACTTAGCATTTTTAAATCCAAACAGCATGACAGCAGTTGCAAATCGATATGTTGGAGCAACTGGTGCGAACAACTCATACATATTCTTTCCCCTTAACCTCGCCCACCTCAGCCTCTACCACTCCCCCCTTTTTCCTTCGCTCCCTTTCCCTCTCCTCTTCCTCTTCTATCTTCTTCTGTCTCAAGTACTGACAAAATTTACTCTTATCCCTCATCTTTTCACCCCATTTGACGAACACAAACGGCACCACGCACAGGGCTAGCGAGAAAAACCCCAGAAGGCTCGTCGCCCACGGTACACCCATAGCCCTATACATGGGCTTCGTGGCAAACGGCAATATTGCCCCAAATGATGATCGAGATAGCGAAGCAGCAGCCATGGCCGAGGCGGCAAATATTTCGTATGCGTCGACAAGGTAGTTTAGAAGAGCCATGAAAAGACATAAATAGCCCATGCCAAATAGGACTCCAGCAAGTACGGGCACAATCCAGTGGATGTCCTTTCGCGCCGTCCAGCCTAGCCAGAAAGCACTGATGACGAAAAAGGGGCCTGCAATGCATGCAAGGGGGAGTCGACGCATTTCCTCACGTTGCGACCAGGGGCGCTGTAGACGCTGGGCGCGCGCAAGATACCAGTCCCAGGCAAGGTAGATGCCTGCAGAGATGGTGGCTCCAACGCCAATAGGTAGGAATGCCAGACCCATTTCTCCGGCGTTGAAACCATATGTTCCTGTGAAGATAATGGGGTAGGATTGCATGAAAATATAGAATATGGAATCTGCATTTTTTGTAAGCATCAGCCGCGGATGTGTACAGGTGAAAGAAAATGACGACGCGAACTTACATGCGTAGCTCAAGTACAAGCAAGTAAAAAGGACGAGTGGCTCAAAGATGACCATTCGTATTGGCCTCGTTAAGATTACCGTAACAAGGTGATTCAAGTCCGTTTTCTCCAGCTCCAGTGGTGCAACGATGCTCTCGTCACCCGTCTCCTTGCGTAACCGTTGAGCGCGACGCTTCAAAATCGTTGGGCCATACGTCTCATCGAAGAAGTAGAAAATAGGCCATGTCGCGCCTGCGAAGATGGCTCCAACCCAAAAAGCCCAACTCCAGTTGACCACGGCAACGAAACCCGATATCGGGGGTCCTAATATAGGACCAAATGTCGTCGCAGCCTAACTCACAAGATCAGAAAATGAACCCTTGAATACATAACAGAGAAAAAACATACCATAAATATTGCCATACTTCTACCGCGTTGTTTTGGGTCATGATAAATATCCGCACAGATACCACCAACAACGCTAATCGCACAGCTCCCGCCTACACCAACGAGGAACCTGAACACGACCAGAGCGCCAAAGTTGGGCGAAAGCGCCGAAGCAATTGAAAAGACTGTCAAGATGAAAAACGATATCACCATTGTGCCTTTGCGGCCGTAGCTCTCAGACAGTGGGCCCCATAGCATAGGACCGAATGCGTACCCAACGAGGTACATGGAGGTAGGGAGAACGAGCATGTACTGGTTGTACTCGTTGAAATGGCGGGATATAGGGCCTGTGGCTCCAGCTGCTAGACTTGAGCTCATGGTGCTGTTCATGACTGGATATGCTTAGTTTGAGCAAGGAAAATTGGGGTGTGAGGAAGGTGAATGCTTACCACTTATGATTGCAACGAAGACGGCATAAATTTTCTTCCACTGCACATAACATCAGCACTATACCAACAAGTATAAACCGTTATTCTGCTCACACGACCCCAGTTATCTGGGTTCTCGGGATCCCCATCTTCAAATCTCAAGACACGCCGCGGTTGACCATGCTCACTCGATGTCTCGGACGGTGCACTCGTCCCGTTGTGCGAACTCGATACTCGTGACTCGACTCTTTCAATGACATCTTCGTTCTCGACATCAGATTCATCAACGTCTTTATTGAGTTCTTTCAAGCGTGCTGCACGCGCAGTGTCCACGCCGGCTAAGTATATCCGTCAGTAAGTCAACTCTCCTACCGACTCCAAATTTCCCCTCTCTTAAGAAAAAAGAGAAATCAAGAAGAAAAGGTGAAACAAAATACATACACCGCTGTCTGCTCAGACTCCTCTGACTCTTTGAGGTAAAACTTCTCACCAGCGCAACCGGCGATGTGATAGCCTCGTGAGTAGGCCCAACACCCTGTTGCTCCCGGGAATAACTTTTTTCAAGATCAGCCCCGGACTCCATCCTCCCCGAGAAATTATTTCCCCTCTTCCTTCTACTTTTCAACCGACAATTAAAAAAGAGCAACAGCAATAATAATAATAGGGATTGGTTCAACTGGCGTAGTCTGCTCGTCACTCACACCAAGCAAAAGTCACTCGCCAAAGAGAGAAGAAGATTGAGAGCCCCAAAAAATATCGGAAAAGTTATTTTTGAAAAGCCATGTAGGGCAGCGCTCAAATTGTAAAGTAAGGGAAAAAACAAAGGGAAATAAAACGGGTATTCCAATACCCAGTACCCGATGGGACCATGCAGAGCACCACCGCTACTTCGGCATTAGACCCGCCCGCTTTCTCCCAAGTGCAAGCAACGATCGTCAACGGGTGCAGATACATGGCGCTATGATTTATAAATGACTGCATAATCTCGATTCTAGATTGGATTAGGGAAGCGGGGATCCATCATAGCGCCTAGCCCATATCTCAAGGAAGTGTGGGGCTGGCGCCGTTTGAGCAACAAACCGGCTTAACGGGGTTGCCAGTATGCCCATTGAGCCGTTGCGTAGTGAAGGAGAAGCAAGGCTTGTATTTCATAGGGCGTATGCAATCAGTCGGGTTGTTGCAGAAATTAATTCTTTAGTACGGTGTTCTGGGCTGTGTTCCATGGGTGGAGAAGGAAGAAAAAAGGGCCAGCTCATACATAATGTGTGTGTGTGCCAAGAGTTTGAGTCACGTACGTATCTGTGCATATGTTTTTCGGTCTGCACGAGGTGCGCGTTGCTAGTCCGATGGTGTAACGGTGCGAATTCCGAGGTCGGAGTCGGGGTAATAATGAACCTCGGAACTGGGAGTATCTAGAAAATGCGTCTTCTCTTCTTTTTTTCTGTAATGATTCGCTACAGTCATAAGTCGTAGGAGGGAAGATTGTAGAAAAATCTAGATGCTTTGTGGACTACTAAAACTTTTTTTTTAGGTCTCTAGGTTGATGCTGCGGCCGAAACGGCCGTAGAGGGCCTTCTTTAGCTCTCCCATCTCTTCTTGGATGCCCTCGAGCTTCGTCTTGAGGGCGTCGACTTCGCCTTCGATGGTCTCGGTTGATGAGCTGAGGAGTTCGAGAACTTGGGGCTGGGGTAATGAGATGAAGCAGTCGCCAACTTTGTATCTGTTTTTGTTGATTAGTGTATGATCCACCTCGTTTTGAATAACAAGGAAAATAAATATAGTTCACATGGAACAACTTACGGTACTTTCTCTTCCTCATCAACAAGCTCTAGTTCACCCGAGATTTCCTCAAGGTCTTCCTTCTCTTTCTGTGATTGCTGGTTAGTTTAAGGGAAAATCCAAAGAAAGTAACTGGGGCGTACAATCTTCGCCCGCAGCTCTTCCTCGAGAATCTCTTCCTTTTGGTGCAGAGAACTGAATCTGTTGATCTTCTCTTGATCCTCACGTCGCACCTCGAGATCCTCGCTCTGCGCTGAGGCCTCGTCGTCTTTGGTGAGCTGCCACCTGATTAGCGCCGGACTGCCGAACACAATGTGAAAATTATGCTCCTTACCATGCGGCGCTGCATTTTGGTGTTGTGGCTGCTCGTGCAATAGACAATTTGATTTCGTATTGAAGCAAGGGTGTGCAGACCTAGCTGCGGCGTTTGAAGCGTCGGTGTCTAGACTGGAGTGTTGTTCGTGCCTTCGGATATGCAAACGCCAAGACCATCGCGGGCCAGGCATGAACCATCTTCATGGTTGGTCCGAGATGTTTACCGATTTTCACTACAGTTCAATTCTGGAACTTGTTTACAAAGTATTTCTTATATTAAGATTCGCTAAATATACCCAATCCATATGTACCCGACCTAGGCAACTCTCTCGAATGTCGCACCCAGCTCATCTCGCTTTTCCACCAGTTCACTGCTCATCTGGCTATTTTGAGCATCGCTGAGCGCCCGCAGAATATCACTTTCTGCTTTGTCTCTAACCAACTTACGAAGAGCGTGAATTAAGAACCCAGAAAACGCATTCACGGACCATTCGTCTGGCACAATCGCCAAAACATCAGCTACATCAAGCCAGCCGCCGAAACGTTCAAGCAGTTCACTCGTGCGCTCGACACGCTGAGAGAGATCCTCAATATTCAAGAACTCTTGCAAGAGGACTCTGAACAAACGAGATTGCTCTGCACGAGTGGGAATCTGATTGAGCGAAACAGGGGGGCTACCAGTTGTTACAGGGCGATGGATGGATGCATAGCCGTAAAGGCAGTAGTTTATGGCGGTATCGTAGTCGCCGAGGCCGTGGGTGAGTAGTTTCAAAGCTTCTTCGTGTCTCTCCTGCCGGCCGTTCAAAATGATCATCTCAGAGACAAGCTCTTGCTCATAGGGCTGTAGACGCGACAGCACTGCATTGACATCGTAAGACGAAGTCTCGCCAAGCAACTGAAGTAGGCGGAGTCTGGCGCGACACCACTCGACATCACTAGCATTGTCACTTATGAACAAGTAGTACGTGGGCTTGGGTGGCTCGAGG